GAATGACAACCTCTCATTTCTCTTCTAAATCTCCAACTCTGGGACATATACTACAAAAATAGATTGATTTCGTCACAGTATCTGGAGGAATGAATGCACAGTATCAGGAAACTTATTTAAATCCTTCCTGTGTTTATTTGGTCAATTGGGGTAACTATTATAATGCAAGAATTAAAATGTCTTTATTAACATGAAAATAACAATGAAAGTACTAAGTATAAACATTGAAGAGTTCATTTATATCAAAATCATAAACATTTATGAAAGTTTTTGGTACCGCAAATAGTGGTTTTCAACTTTAATATATTGTTTTTGTAATGTTTTCATAAGTATTATTTAAATGAAGATTCTTTCTTTTCTTTTAGAAATTTCTGACCGCCATTTTACCATCCGCATGGATTGGTGTGTTTCGTGACAGCAGTCATCATCCATGGGTGACAATAAACGGTTTGACTTTCAAACATGAGTAAGTTGTTTTGTACGGTGCTATATAAAAAAAAATATAAAGGATAAATTCAGAAGAATAATACGAATAAATTTATGTGGAATCATATACATGAAGAAAGATGTGGAAAGTTAGTGAAATGTTGATATAAATATTTCACAGTAGACCATAGTAGTCCCTATATGTCAACCGCTCATTGGTCTGCTAGTAACTTTCTTGGTTATGAGATGGGGCAGGGATGTCTAATCTTTGGCTTCTGTGGGCCACATTGGAAGAATAGTATTGGGCCACACATAAAATACACTAACACTAATGATAGCTGATGAGCTAAACAAAAAAAAATTGCGAAAATATCTCAGAATGTTTTCAGAAAGTTTACATATTTGTGTTGAGCCACATTAAAAGCTGCCTGGGCCACATGCGGTCCATGGTCCATGAGTTGGACAAGCTTGAGATGGACTATCAGGGAATTACAGTGCTTGTTTTCATTAAAAAGCCACCCTTATTTTATTTAAGAATATCCTCAAAGTACAAGAGCACTGCTGTTGGCATATTGCTTATAATTTTTTATTAGTAGTTATTGTTGTCAATCTCTTGTTGTGCCTAATTTATAAATTAAACTTTATCATATTTAGGAATGTGTAGACACAACAAAATCTCTCTATAGGTTCTGTACTATCTGCCATTTCAGACATCCACTGGGGTCTTGAAACATATCCCCCGTGGATGAAGGGAGGACTACTGTATTGAGTTTTCAGAATAATGACTTTTAGTAATAGTATATGAAAAATTTAATTACCCTTTTTCTTAAACTTGTTTTCTTACAGTACATGGAAAACGTTCTTGTCTCATGAATCACTTGCATAAAATGTAACAGAATTATGGATTTTTCTCCATTTCAGGATAAAAGACTCAGATCATGCTGAAAATAACTGTGCAATGCTACATCTAGATAGACTTAAATCAGTCCAGTGTGGATCTTCAAAAAGATATTATTGTAAGCATAAGCTTTAGAATGAAAGTATTTGAGTTTGCAGTGCATCAGATAAATTTTATATTTGTTAACATAGAAATGATATGATTGCATGTCTTAAAATGAATTGCATTATTTGCTCTAATAATAAGAAAATTCTAAATAAATTATTGAAATATAATACACACAATTTTAAAAGTACAGATATCCTAGCATTTAGGTCGGGCTCATTTTGCTAAACATGTTTGTGGCATTCGGCCTTCCTAAAAGTTGCATGTTATGTGGGTCAGTTTGTATGAAGTGTCAAGAACAAGCAAAACCACGGGACAGAAAGTAAAAGAGCGCTGCCAATGCCTAAGGGAGGTTGAAATAGGAGGTGGCCCCTAATTGCTAGAATGTTTCTTTGTGTCAGTGATGAAAACTTTTTAAATTTCAGTAGTAGTGACGGTGGTAACTCTGTGAATATACTAAAAACCACTGATTTTTAATTATTTTAAACAGATGAAATTTATGCTATGTACATGATACCTCAATAAAGCTCTCCCCCCAAAAAAATAATAATACTGTCCTGGGATTGCTTGAGTCTGCATTTAATCTCTAAAGTAATATTTAAAGATTAGCTTCTTGACTTTTCCAATCAATATCATATTGTGTCCTTCAATGTACTGGCTTCAATGTACCGGGATCTCTTTAATTCTTCTCTATTATATTATATATTTTGGGGGATTGAATCATACGAAATGCAGATATTTTACATTCATGCTTTTGTAAATGGCATTCTGATTTTAATATTCCCTTTAATAATTTTTGTTACTGTAAATAGTAATACAATTGATGTCTGCATTTTGATTTTGTATCTAGTTATTTCACTTATTTTACATATTTAAATCTATCATTTCAAACGTAGATTTTTCTGGATTTTCTATATAAACAGCAATTTTATCTGCAAATAATCACACTTTTATTTTTTCTATCCATGTGCCGTAACTTATTTTTTCTTCATTTATTTTCTCTGGCTAGTGCTTTATATCCATAGTCGAATAGAAGGTACAATCAAATTTTGCATGTATCATGTGTATCATTTTCTGGTTTTGGCAAAAAATAATTCAGCATATTATTCATATTTACAAAATTTGGTGTTCTTTTCATCATATCTTTCTTATATTGAAGCAGTCTCGTAATATTCATTTTTTCTAATAGATTTGATCAATTGTTGTAACTTTTTTATTATTTTTTGTTATCAGAATGATATGTGTTTTCTTTATACAACATTTTATAAAACAAATTAGTTTTATTTTTGTCAAATGTTAAACTAGGCTTTGTTTCCGAAACAAATCCATGCAGATCATTGTATATTGCCCCTTATAAAATATCAGTGCACATATTTTATCTAGGGTAAGATTTGTTTCTTTATCCATGTTCACAAGGATATTTGACCATGTTTTTATTTATAGCTATGTACTTGAAAAAGTTTTGGTCTCAAGGCTATCTTGGGAAGATTTTCTCTTTTTCTATAACCTGGAAGCATCTGTCAAGAGTACTGCTTTAGTCATGAAAAAGGATGGGTTCATATCCTTTGCAGGAACATGGATGAAGCTGGAAACCATCATTCTCAGCAAACTATCACAAGGACAGAAAACCAAACACCACGTGTTCTCACTCATAGGTGGGAATTGAACAATGAGAACACATGGACACAGGGAGGGGAACATCACATACCGGGGCCTGTCGGGGAGTGGGGGATTGGGGAAGGAGGTATTAGGAGAAATATCTAATACCTTATATTAGGTATTAGGAGAAATACCTAATGTAAATGACAAGTTGATGGGTGCAGCAAACCAACCTGGCACATCTATGCCTGTGTAACAAACCTGAACACTGTGCACATGTACCCTAGAACTTAAAATATAGTAATAATAATGAAGAGTACCACTTTATTTTTAAATGTTATCGTTCACTAGTGATGCCATCTGAGTTTGCAGGCTATTTTTGTAGAAAAGTTTATGTCTAAACTAATGTCTTCAGTACATGTAGGGTTTACTCAGATTTCTATTTGAGGTACTATATTTTGGTAATGAGCATTTCCTAGGAATTTTCCATTTCATATGGACATTAAATGTATTGATAATATAGTTTTATCGCCTGTTTAATAACTGTAAATACCATAATGGTATTGCCATGTTTAAACTAGAAATAAAATATCTGTGCCTTTTCAAAATCTTCCTTTAGTAGTCTTTTGTGACCATTCATCTTGATAATTTATTTGGCCCATATGTTATTTAGACATACATTACTGAATTAAAAACCATATAAGGTTCTCAGATTTTTGTTTATTGACTTCTATTGTAGGTAAAATATAGTTAGAACATTTTCTATGAAACTGGAAATGTTCATCCCTCTATAAATGTGGTTCATGTGGTGAGGTAGTGGTTTTAAATGTTTTTTACTTTTTATTAATTAATGTTAAATTTGAATAGGTACATTTTGACTGTCTCCTGGCCAAGCTTGCCTATTGGTACTACATTGAAATTGAGTATATGTGTGAGTGCGTGTGTGAATGTATTCATATGAATGATAGTTACTTGTCTAGTTTAAATCTTTCTACAGGCTCACTGGCCTGTCTTATATTTAAGCATCAAGAGGAATTAGTCTTTAAACCCATTTTTATGGGCGGGCGCCGGGGTGGCTCAAAGCCTGTAATCCAGGCCACTTGGGAGGGCCGAGACGGCGGTCACGAGTCGAGATCGAGACCAGGCCTGGCGAACACGGTGAACCCGTCCTATTAAAAAAGTGCAAAAGACGTAAGCGGCGAGGTGCGCGCCTGTAGGTCCCAGGTACTCGGGAGGCTTGAGGAGGAGATGGCGTGAACGCCGGAGGCGGAGGCTGCAGTGAAGCGTGAGATCCGGGCCACTGCACTTCGCAGCCTGGGCGCAGAGCGGGATCCCGGTCTCAGAAGAAGAAAAAAAAAAAATCCCATTTATGATTGTTTACTTGTTCACTTTATTCAATTATATGTTGAATTTGTATCATTAGGTACATGCAGTGATAAAAAATATATTACTAATGGTTTGGAAAATTAATTTATTGTTATGAAGTATATTTCCCCAATTTCAGTAAATTTCATCTCAGCTCACTGCACCCTCAACCTTACCTCCAAGGCTCAAGCGATCCTCCCACCTCAGCCACCAGAGTAGCTGGCTACAGGCAAATACCACCATGCTGGCTAATTTTTGTATTTGTTTGTAGAGACAGGATTTCATCATGTTGACCAGGCTGGTCTTGAACTCCTGAGCTCAAGAAATCTACACGTCTTGCTCTCCCAAGTTGCTGGGATTACTGACATAAGCCACTGCACCTGAGTGCTCATATACCATTTAGCTTGTGTTTTTAAAATCTACTTTTTCTGCCCTCCCTATTTTTAACTAAGTGACATTTTAAAAATTACTTTTCCCTCTCTATATAGTTTGATTTAAGCATTAGTCGTTTACAACAAATATTCCTATTAAAATGCAGACAGTTATGATTGGAAAATAAATCAATGAACAATATAATGAATGGATTTTTATATTTCAATCTGGCATGGTGATATAGTACAATATTGTTTAATAATTTATTCTTCCCAGAGACATCTCCTTTAGTAGAAGATTGTAAATATTAAATGTGATGCAACAAGGTAAAGTTAATACAGAATAAAATCAAATTAGAACTGTCTTTACATGAATAATTCAGGGTGAAAAACAACCCAAAATATAACATATGTTTGAGGATTTTTAAAAGTATTTACATGATTGCCTGTGGAGAATTAGTCAAGTACATACATACATAATAATAGGTTTGTTGATCAGTATAATTTAGAGTGTAACCAATAAATATCATGACAATGAAGAATTAATTTGAAATTTTATAATCATTATGGATGTAATAATACTTTATATGTAGCCCAGACTTTAATAATCAATATACATCAAATTGTGAATGTCAAACATAATTTCTCATACACATATTTAATTGAAGCAGATTTTATTTTTTTAAGAAAACAATAATGAAGTAGTTTCCATAAAATGCAAATCTAATCTTAATTATAAATAATAGGATGACTTAAAAAAATTGAGCCAAACAAACATTGCAGAAAAGATGTACTACACTGATATCGGTCTCCTACCTAATTAGTTATTTTACACAATCAGTATGAATTAGAAATAATAAAATGGCAATTGTGTTAAAAATAATTAAATTTTAAATAAATTAAATTATAAATAAATTAAATTATAAATTAAAAATAAATAATTGAGGGCTAATGTGTGCCAGGTTGTATAAGTGTTTTACATACATTATACTTTATAAATTACTTTCCCCAATCTAGATTAGTAAACTGGGGTTGTAGACACTAAGTAACTTTGTAAACGGTCATGCATTATAAGTTTCAAAACTCTAATTAATTTTAGGTCTCACTGGCTACAGAGCTCATTGACTAGATTATTAAATTATATTTTCTGATTTATTACAATTACTTACACAACCAAAGTGACCCTCATTGCCTTTTAAAACAGCCACAGGATCTTTCTGAAAGTTTGAACCTAAAGTGTTCTTTCATAGATGGTCCAAACTTATATTTATCATTTTCAGTTTTCCTATTTTAGCCATTAAACCAATTAGCAATCACTTCTGTAAAATAAATAGTTCAATGATTTTCTATAGTAATTAGTTTATGCCTGTTAATGTAATATTTTACAAGGTATAAAATATTTCTTTAAAATTTTAACAGTTTTTCTGATGTCCTCAATCATTCAGAATAAAAAACATTTGCTAAGACCTCATGCCCTTTTAGTAAATGAACGTAAGTCCCTAACTTAATGTACTTTAGTATTAAAAGTTGCTCTATATGCTAACAAACCATTCCTCCATCTTTAGCACTCAATCCTTACATTAATGAATTTTAAAATTGTCATACAATTAGTGCATTTTATTTTCAGATTTCAATTTTAGTGTTTTTACACAGGTATTGGTGATAAAATATTTCTGCAGAATTTGACTTTAAATTAATGAAGATATTTATTTTCATTTACTTCTTAGTTTTCACAAACGTATTGTTTTTTATTGTTCCCATTAATAATATTGTGTCAAATACAGAATACCTTGTAAAAAATGACCTATTGTTTAAAGAGATTTCAGTTTAAAACTTTAGGAAATTGGTACTAGACTTTTATATTGGTCAACAGCAAAATGAACATTATTACTCAGCCACCAACACATGCAGTTTGCCTATACCAGGGATCCTGTCAAAATATACACCATTTATAACTTCTTAAGAGCAGTTATCATAGAGCACAGTCCCTGACATCACACAGCTGCAGAGATGAATAAACAAAGAGGAACCTACTCCGAAGTGAGTCTGGCCCAGGACCCAGGGAGGCAGCAAAGGAAACTTAAGGGCAATAAAAGCTCCATTTCAGGAACCGAACAGAAAATATTCCAAGTAGAATTAAACCTTCAAAATGCTTCTTCAGATCATCAAGGGAATGACAAGACATATCACTGCAAAGGTAAAACATTAAATAGATCTTCAATATTATTGTTCTAGGATGTGCAGTTGAATGCAGAAGGGTGGGGAAAGATTAGGGAATATTTTGCACTTGTGAGAATCAGAGTTCATAATTGGGATCTAATATTCTAATATGAAATCTGAAGCCTGATTTTATTCAGGCATTTTTCAGTTGTAATCTCTGATCAACAACTCATGGAGCATTATATTACTGAAAATGAACTGGTATATTCTGAGAGAAAGATTACCAGAGTAGATGTAGATTTAGAGGCCAGAGTTTATCTTTTTTTTTATATATATACTTTAAATTCTAGGGTACATGTGCACAACGTGCAGGTTTGTTACATATGTATACTTGTGCCGTGTTGGTGTGCTGTGTTTATCTTTATGTTTCCCTGTGCATGTGGGTTCTCTAGTATGGAATCCTAATCAACTCTCTATCTCCCCTCTCTCAGTGCCTCTATTTCTCTCCCTGCAGGTTTACTGCCACCTCCAGAGAAGCTCACTGCTGAGGTCCTGGGAATCATTTGCATTGTCCTGATGGCCACTGTGTTAAAAACAATAGTTCTTATTCCTTGTAAGTGTATTATTGAAAGATTATAAGGGAACTTTTCACTGTACTGACTGGAAATGCCTTGAAACATTTCATAATAATGAGGATTAGAATTCTCTTTTTAATGTATATATCTGAACCCCAAGATAATACGGTTCTTCTGAACTTTTCAAAATTATAAGTAACAGAATAATTGTAGAAAATACTTGTTTATTTTTGTCTGTGTGTTAAATATGTGTGTATATATAATACACACAGAGAGAGATGTATTATGATTTCATGATTCAAAGACACGATTTAAGAAAAAAATATTTAGAAAAACAAATTAATTTTTGAAAGTGGTTAAATCAAATACTGTAAGAGATGGTGAAGTTTTATGCTAATGGCTTTAAAAATATTTGTTTTAAAGATCGTTTTTATTTCAGATTGTTCCAGTTTAAAATAATTTTAAATTTTGTATTTCAAAGTAAGCAACTGAAATTATGGTTTATCTAGGTGTTAATTTTGTAAGAATTACTTTAATTTTTCTAGGTATTGGAGTACTGGAGCAGAACAATTTTTCCGTGAATACAAGAATCCAGAAAGGTACATTATGATTGTCAGTGTTCTGATGTTAGTACAGTTTATATTTTGTCTCTATCTTAAGGGATGCAAAATGACAAGAAAAATTTTTGGGAGAATAAACTATAGCACTAAGCCATAAATGTTTATAAAATAAAGATTACATGAGGGAAATTCCTTTTCTCCAATAATAAGTAGAAATACTCAGTTAAAATCATTATACCCTCTTGTTGCGTTTAATTAACTGAAATTTCCTAATACTACAAGATGATAAGAGATAAATAATTTTACTATACTTAAAAAGCAGTTTTGTTCAGTGATGTTTAAGATGTGTAGGGTGAATTTTTGTTTGCTGGTTTGCTTTATATGGGAACACAATTAAGGGATGAGAGGTGGACCTTACATTGTGCATGTGTGTATGAGTGACTAGTTGTTTTAAAATATATATTTAACAGCCTATGAGGATGCATAGATATTGTATACCTATGTGTTTATAGCTTTGCAAATATATAAAATAATTTTAATTTGTAAACATATTGTTCTGCATAGTAATTCATATCTTTATTTAGCATATGATTGTGGCCATTGTCCTGAGGAGTAGATTACATATTCCAACAGTTGTTATTACATTGGTAAGGAAAAAAGAACTTGGGAAGAGAGTTTGCTGACCTGTGCTTCAAAGAACTCTAGTCTGCTTTCTATAGATAACGAAGAAGAAATGGTAAGACGTAAATGTTTCAACACTTTACTAAAAGCTTATTTCCATCAATATCATATTTGTAGAAATCATCCATATGTTTATACATATTTAATTCATATATTTTAAGTCTGTGTAATATTCAACTGACTTCATAATATTTTTATATTCATATACTGTTAATGCACATTTGATGATTTCCAGTTTTGCTTTTCATGGAAACCCATTCTTCTATGAATATTTTTATCCCAAAATAAATATAAAGAAAACTAAGCATGTCATAGTCATTCATATTGATCACAAAGTGAATGGATTCATGATACAAGGCAGATCATGAAATAGAAGTTTCCAGCCCCAGCAATCCTGCCCCTGGATATGCCTTCCTCACTTTTCCTGCCTCCTCTCCAAACCTTTGTATTGACTTTTAATGTGATAAATAAGCTTTGCCTGTTTCTGGATTTATGTCGAGGGAATCATACAGTGTGCATTTTCATTTGTGTCTTCTTTTGCTCCTATATGATATTTGTGCAATAATACAGTTAGCTGTTGTTTGTTACTGTTCATTGCTGCATGATGTACATAGAACACTTACAATCCATTCAGTCCTGTGTCTCTGGATAGGGAAGGGAGTCTTATGTCCTCAGGGACAAAAAGGAACCTGGATGTGCACGTGTAGTCATGGGTTTCCTTTGTTGATCCCTCTTGCCCGCACCTACCCTGGTGTCTTTTGGTTTGGGAGGAGAAGCACTTCCTCTAGCTCCTAATTGGTAGCAGGTCTCCTGCTAGATCATCCTTGCCAGTGGTACCAGCCTTGCCTGGTGTTGCTTTCAATACAGAGCAGGAGTGGGTTTAGCTGAGCCACCTCCCGTTGCTCTGAGAAACAGAGGACTAGTTCACTTTCTTCTGCTGAGTGGGGGACTGAAGATGTCCAGACACTCTGTTGATCCCTGTTTCTGGAGTCCCAAACCATTTTGCCATCCTCTTTCCACCTTTCAGAGTCTTCCTATGTGTCTTTCCTCGCTTGCAGAGTTTAGAGTTGTATTTAGTAGGGAGTAGCAGAGAAAAAGGAGTGATGTACCTGGTCAAGACCGTTGTCATTCCACCAAAGCCGAATCAGATAAAAGTGAGGGCTTATCTAGTTAGAGAGTGGTGTGGTGCCCAGAAAAGCCCATTTTTGGCCTCTGTGTCATTTATTTCCTCAATGGCAACCGTTCAATTTCCTTCTAAACTTCAAGAAGGAAAAGTTCCACTATAAGAAACATGGTGGAAAAATACATTTATTTAATCAGAATATCTGGAGAAAAACATGTGCAGTATCAGGACGTTTATTTCAGTTCTTACTGCGTCTGTCTTACCAACCCAGGCAACTATTAAATTACATGAATCACAATTTTGCTTATTAAAATAAGAAGAATGAATGTACTAAGCATAAAAATTGAAGAGCTCCTTTTAAGTCAAAATTACAAAAATTTGTAACAGTTTTTTACACTATAAAAGTCGTTTTCAAGTTTACTATTTTGTTTAGTGTATTTATTTTGTTTTGAAAATTAAGCATCCTATGAAAGAATGTATTACCTGCACTTTTAAAAATAAATAAAAGTTTAGAATTCAAAGAAAGCACCTAAAAATTAATAAAATCTTTTATAATTATTATTTAAACGAAAATTTTGTATTTTCCATTAGCAACTTCTGGGCTCCCTGTCAGTTCTCTCATGGGTTGGTGTCTCAGCAGTGTCAGCAGCAGTGATCATCCATGGGTGTCAATAAATGGCTCAATGTTCAAATTGAAGTAAGTTTTTTGAATGATGCTATATAGTAGAAGAATATAAAAAGGTTCAGAATAACATTGTGAATAAATTTAAGTGCAATTATAGTCATAAATAAAGATGTTGAAAGTTAATGAAATGTTGATATAAATATTAAGGAATGATCCACAATTACATTTTCTGTGGTTTTAGTTACCCAGGCTCAACCACAGCCAAAACTATTAAAAGGAAAACTCTAGGAAGAAAAACTTCACGAGTTTTAAATTGTTCACTGTTCAGAGTAGTGTGATCAAATCCTTTATATAGTGTATGGATCCATCTCACCTGGGACATGAATCATTGCTTCATCCAGGGTACCTGCATAGCCTAAGTTCCCTGTCCACTAGTCACTCAGCTGTCTCAGTTATGAAATGGACTGAGGTGGTATTGTACCATTTGTGTTCAAGTCACTGTTAGTTTGCTTAATAAGGACCCCAAAATGCAAGAGTATTTATGCTGGTATATTGTTATAATTGTTCTTTTTCATTATTATTAGTTTGTTTTAATCTCTTAATGGGCCTAATTTATAAATTAAACTTCATCAAAGGTGTGTATGTATAGATAAAACACAGTATATATACAGTTCAGTACTATCTATGATTTCAGACATCCACTGGGGGTCTTAGAACATATCCCCTGTGCAGATGAAAGGACTGTTTCATTCAGTTTTCATATTACCAACTCATTATATTATTATATGGAAAATATCATCTGTTTTTATAATATTCTTTGCTTACAATTTGTGGAAAATGCTCTTGTTCCGTGAATTGTCCCCATGCAATCTAATGGGATTATGGATTTTTCTCCATCACAGGATAGCAGAATCAGATATTGGAAAGCATAACTGTGTAATGCTGCGCTCATCTGGCCTTAAATCACACAGATGTGGATCTTCACAACTGTATACTTGTAAGCATAAACTTTGGAATTAAAGCAAGTGAATTTGGAGTCTGTTCAGGTAATTTTAAATTTCATAAAACGGAAATAATATTTTGATTGAAAAAGTTTTAAAATAAATTACATAATTTGTCCCAATAATGAAAAAAGTTTTCAAAATCAGTTATTGAAATGTAATATGCACACCACTAAGTACAGATATCATTGCTGTTGTGTCTTGCTTTTCTTACTCAACATCATATTTTTGGCATTCAGTCTTTCTTAAAGTTTCACAGTATGCAAGTGTGTTTATATGAAATATCAGTAATAGGCAATCGCATAGAGACAGAAAGTGGAATAGTGGTTGCTAATGCCTAAGGGAAGGTTGGAATAGAAAGTGACTGTTTATTGTTAACGGTCTCTTTTTGGGATGATGGAAACTTCCTAAATTTCAGTAGTGATAGTCATAACTCTGAATATACTAAAAGTAACTGACTTATGCACATTAAATGGATGAAATGTATGCTGTATACATGACATCTTAATAAAGCTATTTTTTAAAAACTCCTGGATTTATATTTGGGACTGAATGTGATATCTAAAGTAGTGTTTAAATATAAGATTTCTTTATAACGCTGACTTTTCTAATCAATATCATGCTGTGTCCTTCAATATATTAGGTTTTCTTTCATTTCTATCAGATTTGAGGGGATTGAAGTCATATAGAAATACAGGTATTTCACATTCATACTTTTGTAAATGGCACTTATTTTTCAATTTTCTTTAATATGTTTTGTTGCTGTAAATAGGAATATAATTGACGTCTGCATGATGATTGTACATCCAGTTACTTCACTAATTTTATGTGTTAAATCTCACATCAAGTATAGATTTTTCTGGGTTTTCCATTTAAACAGCTGTTTAATATACAAATTGTAATACTTTTCTTTTTATTTCCAGGTGCTATGAATTTTTTTCTGATATATTTTCACTGGTTAGGGATTCATTTCTGATGTTGAATAGAAGAAACAAAAAAAGTTCTGTGTATATTATATGTGTCATTTTCTGTTTGGAGAAAATATATCAACATTTTATTTATGCTTATGAATTTTTTATTACACCTTTCTCATATTAAAGCAGTTTTATCATATTCCTGTTTTTCTAATAGTTTTTATCAATTGATGTCACATTTCTATCATTTTTTATCAATTGAAATGATACATCTTTTCTCTGTATAATGTTTATTAAGTAAATTACCTTCATTTCTTTCAAATGTTAGAAAAGTATTGTGTTTCTGAAACAAGACCCTATTTATCATACTGCATTGCCCCTTTAAAAATAAATCAGTGCATATATTATAGTTAGAGTAAGATTTGTTTCTTCATCTAGGTTCAAAAGAGATTCAACTGTGTTTTTACAAACTATGTACATGAGAAATTTTGCTATCAAAGCTATACTGGGAAGCTTTCCTCTTTCTCTATAACCTAGAAGTATTTGTGTAAGGGTAGTTTTATTTTTAAACGTTATTATTCACTAGTGGTTCCGTCTAACTTATAAATTATGTTTTGTAGGAAAGTTTGTATAACAAACTCAATTTCTTTAATATGTAGAGTTTACTCTGGTTTTTGTTTCTTTTATTGTGTTTTGGTAATTTGTATTTTCTAGGAATTTTATTTTGTAGGATATTAAATGTATTCCTGATAGAGTTTAATATCTGGTATCTGTAAAAACGATAACGGTTTCCCCATGTTTAATCTAGAAATAAAATGTTGATATTTTCTAAAACTCTTTCTATGGTAGGCTCATCAATTTTTAAAAGGTCTTTTCAGTAAAAATACCTGTGGCCTCGCTGAGCTTCTCTCCCGTAATTGTGTTCTTGTTATGATTTTTTACTGTTTATTCTTTGTGTTTTTCTACTTTACTTATATTTAATTTCCGTTTTTCTGCTTTTAATCTCATTTGATGAGTTCTCAGATAATTCAATTCTACTTTCATATTTTACTCTCTCTATATATATATATTTAAGGCAATTAGTTTTTCACAAGAGAGAATTTGCTCTATTTTCTTTGTAATTCATATTAAAATGTGACCATCCATTGTGATAATGTCTTTGGCCCATAAGTTATTTAGAAATGTATTACTGAGTTAAAATTATACAGGTTTCCTAATTTTTAGTTATTGACCTCTATATTAGATAAACTGTATAAAGCAGTTTCTGTGAAGCTGGAAATATTCTGCGTTTCTGTGTGAATGTGGCTAGTGTGAGATATTGATTTTATTTTCTATTAATTAATTTTATATTTGAATAGTTACATTTCAAGTGTCCATTGACCAATGTAGGCTAGTGATACTGCATTGAAATCATAGTTTAATATTTTTATATTAATATGCTTGGAAACATGAGATTATAGTGTACTTTTGGAAAATTTCCATGTGAACTCAAAAACAGAAGTATCCTGTTAGTATATACTGTCTGTACAAGTGTGTGTGAGTTTGGGCATATAGGTGATAGTTAATAGTGTAGTTCAAAACCTTTTAAAGATTCACTGGTGTGGCTGTTTGTGTGACAAGCTGTGAGAGAGAAGTGTTAAAACCTCATTTTTGATTGTTAACTTGTTCACTTCTTTCAATTCTATGTTGAACTTGCATTATCAGATACATACACATTATTTTTAAAATATTATAATGATGTAGTAAATAAAATTATTATTATGAAACATGCATCTTTATTTTCAATAATGACTTTTTCTCTTATTTTATGACTTTACGTTAACAATAGCAGTTTTCTACTGGTTTGTATTGCATGATATATTTTTTCATCTCTTCATTTTAATTTTTCTTTATACTTAAAGGAGTGTCTTACAACAGCAGTTTTGTTAGAATAAACATTCTTTGTTTTTAATCTAAAAATAATTTTCTTTATATTTACTATAAGTATTAAATTTTCAAATATGATTATTATGTATTTTATTTGTATGTCCATAATTATATAATTAATTATAATTATTATCTAATTTAGATTGAACATTGCCAGGCTTTTAAACTCTTAGCTTTTTATTGCTTTATCTTTTCACTAGAAATATTTTATTGTTTAAATATTTCTACTAACAAACTGTGCCAATTTGTTAATTTAATATGCTTCGAATATTCTTTCATTAGTGCCCTGCATTTTACAGGGCACAACAAATTAATGCTTTTACCCCTTCTTAGACAATGAAAAGATCTAACTATCCTTCCTATGGTTTAAATATTTGTGTCTTCTTAAAATTTATATTGAGACTTAATCCCTCTTTTGCTGGGTTTAAGAGGTAGGGCCTTTGGGGAACTAATTAAGTCAGCAGGGCTTTGCCGTAATGATTTGATTAGTGCCTCACGAAAAGGCTGTTAGGAACTAGTATTCGCCCCATTTTCCCTTCTGCCATGTGAGGACGTAGCAACATGGTGCCATCTTGGAAGCAGAAAGCAGCCCTCATCAGACACCAAATCTGCTGACACCTTGATCTTAGACTTTCTTGCCTTGAGAACTGTGAGAACTAGATTTTCCGTGCTTATAAATTGTTCGATCTATGGAATTTTGTTATTGCAGCAAAAATGGACTAAGACTACCCTCTCCTTTTATTTACTGATTATCCTATATTTGCTTTCTGAATTCTGATATAAAAATATATTTAAAGTTTGAAACATTGTCATCAATATTTTATTCATTTACTATTTAGGTAGGTATATCCATATAATTCCTTTTGAAATACATCATCTTTAGAATATATTTAAATTTTATTTTCTTTTCTTCTAGGGAATAGCAACTAATTCTCTCCATTTAAAAACACTTCTTGAAGATGAAGTCGTTTGCCATCGTATTTAAGAATATTTTCACTTATTATTGACTTCCAATTAATCCATAACTCTTAAGACACTAGGTATAGCCATTATTAACCATAGTCACAGTAATATATATTTTGATTCTATATCTATATATGTACTATATATTTATATCATATAGAGTAAATTTTCATTACTCCTATTATTTTCAGTGACTTTGTTGCCTTTTTATATTATTATTATGTGTTTGAATAAGCATAGATTCCATTAAAGTTAAATGCTGGAAGAGTAAAAAAACACATTTTGTTACATATAACGAGGATATGATATACAGTTATGTGACAAAAGAAATAGTGTTTTGGTCGATAATGCACCACATATATGATGGTGGTTCCATAAAATTATAATGGAGCTGAAAAATTCCTATATCCTAGTGACACCGTAGCTGTTGTCATAGGACAGCTCGTTATTCACATGTTTGTGGTGATACTAGTTGTAAACAAACCTACTGAGCTGCCAGTCATGTAAACATATAGCATATACAATTTTGTACAGTGCATAGTACTTGATAATAAACAACTATGTTACTAGCTTTATGTATTTAGTGTACTACACTTTTTTAACTTTTAGGTTCAGGAGTACATGTGTAGCTTTGTTGTGTAGGTAAACTTCTGTCATGGGGGTTGGTGGTGTTTTGATTTAATTTAATTTAATTTAGGAGAGCTAAGTAATTAAACATGAGGCCAAAGTACATAAGAAAGTGGCAGTCTTTTATTGCAAATATGCACACACTCTCGGGCGAAGTTCTCTGGTCCTCAGGTGTGGGGGGCCAGGGAAGTCGCGCGGGCACTCTCGGGTGATGTTCTCCGGTCCACAAATGCGGGGGCCGAAGAAGTCACGCGGGCCCCTGCCGGCAGCGGACTTTTATGCCTGGGAGCTGGAAGGGGAGGAGTTTGGGGCGTGTGTGTAGGAGTGGCTTGTTGAATTTCGGTGTCCTCGGCTTGATGTCATTCTGCGCATGCTCAGTTGATTTGGTTCTTTTCCCGGGCGCGGGAAAATCTGTGAAGAACCCGGAAACAACAGGGACTGCTCCTTCTTGTTCACCTTCCTCCATCTTGTCCCTTTTCCTTCACCCAAACAGGTGGTACAAATTATTTTATCACCCAGGTATTAAGCCTGATACCCATTAGATCTTTTTCCTGATCCTCTCCCTCCACTCTCCCTCCACCCTCTGATAGGCCCTAGTGCATGTTGCTCGCCTCTATGTGTCCATGTATTCTCATCATTTAGCTCCCACTTATAAGTGAGAACATATGGCATTTGGTTGTCTGTTCCTGCATTAGTTTGCTAAGGATAATAGCTTATAGCTCCATCCATGTTCCTGCAGAGGATATGATTTCATTCCTTTTTGTGATCACATATTATTGCATGGTGCATATGTACCACATTTTCTTTATCCAGTCTATCACTGATGGGCATTTAGGTTGATTCCAAGTCTTTGCTATTGTGAATTACACTACATTTTTTATTCTTGTTTTAGAGTGTGCTCCTCCTACTTATAAAAAATAGTTAACTACAAAACAGGCTTAGGCAGGTCCTTCAGGTGGTATTCCAGAAGAAGGCATTGTTATCATAGGAGATGACAGCTCTTTGAGAGTTATCGCCCCTGAAGACCTTCCAGTGGGACAGGATGTGGAGATGGAAGAGAGTGATATTGATCATCTTGACTCTATGCAGGCCTAATGTGTTTGTTTGTGTCTTACTTTTTAACAAAAACATTAAAGAGTAAGAAAAAAGTGAGAATAAAAATTTTTTATATAGGAAAGAGTTTACAGAATAATCATATAAAAATATATTTGTAGAGTTGCACAGTGTGTGTTTTTAGCTCTTTTATTACAAAAGAGTCAAAAAGTTTATAAAGTAAAAAGTTAGAGTAAGTTATTTAATATTATTGAAGAAAAGATTATTATAGTGTTGTCTAAGTATATAGTGTTTAAAAAGTGTCCAGTAGTGCACAATACTGTCCTAGGCCTTCACATTCCACTCAACGCTCACTGACCCACCCAGGGAAACTCCCAGTTCTACAGGCTCCATTAAGTGCGCTACACAGGTGTACCATTTTTTATCTTTTATATTGTGCTTTTACTGTACCTTTTCTATGTTGAGATATGTTTAAATAAACACATACTTACCATTATGCTACATTTGTCTACGATATTCAATAGAGTAGCATGCTGTACAGGTTTGTAGCCGAGGAGCTGTAAGTTACACCAGATAGCCCATGTGTGTAGTAGGCTATACCATCCAAGTTTGTATAAGTACATTATGATATTCACACAATGACAAAATTGCCTCGCGACCCATTAATCAGAATGTATACCCATCATTAAGTTGCACGTGACTGTATAATGCTATTTAATTAAAAACAATAAGTGGGTGTTTGCAGGAATAGTATACATCGGTACCTCAAATTTAAAAAGAGAACATTAGTGAATGTTACATTATTTGGCATCTTTGTGAAAGATTTTGTTGTTTTAATTCTTCAATGTGACAAAAAATTACTTAGTTTATAAAAATGAAATAAGTATGTAAATGTAAATAAATGTATTTCTAATAAAAACACCCAACATGCATATAAGCATATATCACGTTATTTAGAATTATAATTATGAAAATACACTAAATTATAATTAATAGAAATATATATATAGCTAGCAAACAAACATAGTATTTCAGATTCACAGTTTTACAAATGGCATCCTTATTTTAAAAATTTCTTTAGTAATTGTCGCTATAAATAGAAATGCAATTGAAATTTGCAAGTTATTCTTATATCCAGTTACTTCACTGAATTTTTTTGTATTAAATTTGTCATTTTAGGTGTAATTTTTCAGGTTTTCTATATTAACAGGTATTTTATTTCTAAATAATCCCACTTTTATCTTTTCTTTCCAATTGCAATATTTTCTCTTTCTTTTTTATAACTTAAAAAATTATGAGTACATAATAGTGTACATATTTATGGCATATACATGCTATTTTGATACACACATACAATGTGTAATGATCAAATCAAGTAATTAGGATACGCATCACCTCAAAAATTTGTCATTTCTTTGTGTTGGGAACATCTGAAATCTACTCCTCTACTTATTTTGAAATATACAATAAATTATTATTAAATATAGCAGCCTTATTGTGCTACCATTGTGCTACCTTTCTTCATACCCCTGACACTATCCTTCCCAGCTCTGGTAGCCATCATTCTACCCTCTACCTCCATGAGATCAATTGTATTAGTTCCCACATATGAGTGAGAACATGTGATATTTACCTTTTTGTGCCTGGCTCATTTCACTTAACATGATGTCCTCCAGTTCCAACCATGTTGTTGCAAATTACAAGGATTTTATTTTTGTATGACTGAATAATGTTCCATTATTATTCCACACGTATGTGATCTATCTGTACCACATTTTCTTAATCCATTCATCCACTGATGAATACTTAGCTTGAGTCCACATCTTAGCTCTTGTGGACAGCACTGCAATAAACATGGTAGTGCAGATCTATCTTTGATAACCTGGTTTCCTTTCTTTTGAATATATACCCAGCAGTAGGATTGCTGGATCATATGGTAGTTCTATTTTTTGCATTTTGAGGAATCTCCATACTGTTTTCCATAATGACTGTACTAATTTACTTTCCCACCAACAGTATACGAGGGTTCCCTTCTCTCCACACCCTCATCAGCAGCCATTATTTCCTTTTTCATAACAGCCATTCTAACTGGGGTGAGATGACATTTCATTGTAGTTTTTATTTGCATTTCTCTGATGATTAGTGATGTTGCGCCCTTTTTCATATACCTATTAGCTATTTGTATGTCTTCCTTTGAAAAACGTGTATTCATATCTTTCACTCATTTTTTAATCTAGTTATTTCGTTTCTTGTTACTAAGTTGTTTGAGTTCATTATATATTCTGGTTATTATTCTCTTGTCAGTAGAATAGCTTAAAATTA